ATTTCCATATCTATTTTCATAACATTATGACAAAGATAAGAGAGATTAAATTTTATTTTCTTGGCTTTATTAGTTGGGAAAATTGAAGCACATGGATGACTGGCAGAAACATAGTTGTTCGATGTCAGGATAGCCCAATTAAAAAAAAGAGAAATTGGCAAAACAAATGGGTTTAATCTGCATACTAAGCTTCTAAAAATTTAGAACCATCTGGATGATTTACTGCATTTTTGCTGTCATGTAAATGTTCAGGATTCTGTAGACACAGCAATTTTCTTATTTTTCCTCAGTTTAAACTTGTCCCCCAAGATGTTTTGGGAAAGAATAGAAGGACCTATTCAGACCTTTCCAAGTCCATTTGTCAAATGGATTGTATTTGTGCCCTCTCTTAAAACAATGCTTCACAGTTTTTGTAAATTAATATCATCATTAAAAATACGCTGGTTTCCTTGTCTACCTCCCTTAACTTCTTGCGATGCAGGGCCAGCATGCTGGGCTCCACACACAGCAGTTTTGGCAGGGCCCCTGGGGCCCAGGGGGATATTAACTTACAAGGCTTTCCCTATTTTGCTTTCTCATGTCTGAAACTATTTCAAAACTTAGTGCCTGAAATGCAGGTTATTAAATATACTTTACTAGAATGTAAGAAGTGCTTTTGTCCCTTCCCCCCTCCACTTTGGAGAGAAGACGGTTGGGAAATGAATCAGTGTATTTATAAGTCTTATATCCTCTCTACTACTTAGTATCTACATCGGCACAAAACCAGAGATGATAAAAGGGTAGTGAAACTGAAAATCAAGCTGAGTCCATCTAGAGTTAGATCCCAAATGCAATTTCACTCTCACCCTAGGATTTTTTAGTTTTATTAGTTTTCAGGACTTCAGTTGAGTGCGACCTGAAATGGAAAAGAGAGATTCGTTGGTTTCTAGTTGTTAGAGCTTCAATCCCTCCCTTTGCAGAAGTGTCCTTGTCCCCTAATCTCTGGCTGGGATCTAGCTCCAGGAAATCAGGTACCAGGTGAGCAGCTGGCCCCTGAAGCCCCTTGGAAAGCATTTTTTCCCCCCAATCCCCTCCCATGCCACCTAAGTGTGGCTCAGTGCAGATGGATCTGTCCTTCTCTGTGTGTAGTCCTCCTGGGTGTAGGGAGCAGACACTGCTTGGGTACAGTCACAGGAGGCAAAGAGGTGTCTGTGGGTCTCCAGCAGCTGGAGAAGGTTTGAGTCCCCTTGGCAGATGTTTGCTGTTCCAGCCACTTCATTAATGTTGGAAACAAAATCCCTGATTATTCTTGAGTGAAGACGCATTTTGTGATTGACAGCTGGGGTGTGCTTCCTACCACAGAAGCCCTTTACAATCTGACAGCAGGAGACATAAAAATGAAAACAGGAAGATGAGAGGAAGAAGGAAATCAGACTAGATGCTGTTATCAAAAAAACATAAAAGTATCAAGGAAGGAAAGAGGGGGAGACTAATTTTAAGAGAAGACAAAGTTAGTGCAACTATTTAAGATTTGAGGTGCCATTAAGTGCTCAGGTCTTTGACATACATGTAATTTAATTATGCCAGCTTTCATGCCTTTATTTATTCATTATACATTTACTGCAAATCTACTACGTGCTATGCCGTTATTGGTGCTACAAGATGAATAACACACACAGCCCACTACGAATTCAAGGTGCAGGGGAGGAAATAAACATTCAAAAACCCAAGAATACAATAAAGTAAAGGCTAAGCTAAAGGTTGGAAGAGCAATGACTGCCTTTGTTGGGAAGTGGGGAAAGGCTTCACCAAGGAGGAGACATTTCAGATGAGTTTCGAACTAGTTTTTCAGGCAGAGAGAAGGGAGGGGTTGGGGTGCGGAAGGCGTTCCAATAAAAAAAAAAAAAACCAGCTTGTGTAAAAGCATAGATTATGACTGGTCAATTCTGTGCAGTAGGTTTTATGATTACCACTTTCAAATAAACAAAACTGAGGCTCAGCTTATGTTAAGAATCCTTCGCAAATTTGTAATAACGAGAGGCGCTACACTGGAATCAATCTCTCCACTACACGTGGGAACTTGTGCCCTCAGACCCCCTCTTCTCTGAGATTTGTTGCCTCAAGAATAGAAACCGAAAAGACAGCAAATCCAAGAATCTGGATCGGAATGTTTCATTTTCTTTAGCGATTTTAAACACTGCAGACTCCAAATTAATAAAAACTCCAAGGAGACTGGGAGAATTTTGCGCGTGTTAGCGAATGGAATAAGAGAGAAATGAGAGAGCAGAAGCGAGGCCGGTCGGAAAGCGATGCTCACACAGCCAAGCGGCGATTGGGAGTTTGGGGCCTTAGCGTCGTGAGCTTCCTCCACGGCCCAAGTAGCAGCCTTACCACAAGGGCAGAGGGACGCGTCCCAGACCGAGATTTGGAGAGTGGGAAGGGAGAAAGAAAAAGACGAATAAGAATGGAAGATGAATAGAGGTTAAAAGAGGGTTGAAGAGAGCAAAGGAGGAAATTCAACAGCGAAGAGGCTAAAAGTGCAGGGTACAATGGGGGGAGGAGGGTGTGGAGAGAGAGATGGAAACGAAAAAGTGAAGGAGTTATTGGTGGTGGAAGGAATGGGAAAATCTAGAGAGGGGGAATGAATTCGGAGGAGAAAAGTGGTTGAAGAAAAGCACAGCAGTGCGAATACAGGGCCCAGAGGAACAACCCAGAGTGCGCAGATTATGGGGAGCGCACGGAAGGACAAGACAAAAGTGTCCAAAGCGTAATGCTCGGCCTCCCCTGATTTAATCGAGAGGCTACGTCTCAGACGCCCGGGCCCGCAGCCTTCCGAGTCCGACTCGCAGTACGCGCTGCCCTGGGGACATTCCCCAAGTTACACGCTCTCGGATCAGCCCCCAAGTTTCTCCGCGGCTCACCACAGCTCTTTGTTTTTCTAGGGGCAAATAGATTTTTCCACCCCGGATTGTTCCTCAGAGAGGACCCTGCGCCCTTAGAATCCGTCGCCGGCTGCAGGTCGTTGCATAGCAGTCCGTTATCACCCGCGCCAGGGGAAAGCCCTCAGTTGTGACGCTTGGCAGCACCAGGCCGGCTCGAAATGGGGAGCTTCCCTGACCACGCACGCGGCAGCAGAGAAACTGTGGGGATCTGCATCAAGGCGGGGTGCATGATCCGGCTGCGCGCGGCCGCCCCGCCAGGACACCTTGTCGCCGTGCTTGCGGGCCTTCTATCTGCCTCTTCCTGGAGAAGGAAAATAAACGAAATGGAGTGGCGAGGAGAGGACCTAGGGCGCAAAAACGCTTCGGGAGTGAAGTCCCTAAAGGATGCACTGTGGGTTATGTACAATGTTAGCGTGTGGCTTGGTCTACTTAGATCTATTTTCCTCAAAGTGTCTAATTATTAGCTCTCCAGGTGTATCCTTTCCTTATTAGCCTAACATTGGTCCTAGGTTCCGCGTTATCTTGCTGCGACCGCGGCCACCTCTGCGGGCAGCAGCAGCAGCCCCGCCGCTGCGGGTTACTGCTGGCGTGGGGCAGCTGCCAGCTTGCAAACTGCATGGCAACGTAACCAACCCAACTCAGGCTCGCAGAGCAATCCCTTCTTTAATTTTCTTACTATTCATTTTCTTTCTGGCCCTGCACACACAAATTTGGGGCAGAGAGAGTGCGTGGGGCACACTGTACGCGGTGGCGGGACAAGGCTGCAAGAGCCTTTCCGAGTGCTGGAGGATGAATAGGAGGGCGCTCAGCTTCTAATCACGCATGTCCCTTTACCCGGGCAATTCCTACTGGGAAAAAAGTTTGTATCGGTATCGATTGGGACAGACTTGGAGAAAAACGGTCCAGGAGGAAAAAAGCAAAGGGCACAATAAACACATTCTTGCTGGCTTCTACACCTTCGCCGTCGCGCGTGGCACCCGTGACACGAAAGCCGTCTGGCGCGAACTATTGTGCCCTCGGAGAAGCCACAGACACCGGCAGGCGGCCTCGAGCATCCGCGCCGAACATCCGCGGGTGACCGTGGAACCGTGCTGTTCCGGCACTTTCCCATGAGGAAAAAAGTGTTAAAAATAGTTAAAAAATAAATAAAAAGGAACTCCCGCTGCATTAGTGTTGTTCTTCTTACGGTTTATTATGGTGATAATGGACGGGGCAGTGGTCACTTAAGGTTTAAGGTTTCTGCGCAGGACAGTCAAGTTTGCCCTCTCGGCGAAAACGCCCAACCTCGGAGCGTGCGGTCGCTACCCGGCGCAAGACTTGAGAGGCACAAGGTCCCGGAGAAACCTCCGACCCGGGGCTCGGGGGCCAAGTTGGTAGAGAGAAAGGCCCAGTTGGTCTTCAAGGGACGCCAGTTCCGTGGCCAGCAGCCTCCGGAGACTTGGTAGGGCCTTGACTTCTTTCTGACGCACAGCCAGCCGAGCTACTGGCCTCGCACGCCGCGGAGCTGGTACCGCGCGGCCGCGGAATGGGCGCTAAGGTCCGCCTCGGGAGCGCGGCCCGGGGGAGCGGCGGTCAGGGACTTGCCAGCGGGCGGGGGCGGCGCGCGCTCCCCTCCACCAGCGCGCGCTCACTCTGAACACACACCTGGAGCTGGTCCCGGGAGGGGGTGGGGAGGAGAGCCTAGACGAATGTCTTAAAATAGGGAGACGGTCAGAGAGACGCGCTAGACGGCTAGAGGCGGGAGGAGGCGAGCAGCACCGCGGGTCCGAAGCACGCAGGATACCGTCCCGGGTGGTGGGGACTGGGCAGGAGCGGACGCCTTGCGGCGGGCTGGCCTTGCTCGCTCATTCCCCGCTGGGCTGCGCAGCCCCGCCAGGCCCTGCAGGAAGCGCGCGCTGATTGACAGCTGCGCTGGCCCAAAAAGGCACGGCGAAGATGCTTATCTGCGGGTGGGTATAGACTGCGGAGGGCGCGTCGGGTGGACGGTCCTCTCCGCGCGCCTCCCGAGCCCGCGCCGCTCCACGCGGCCGCCTAGGATCGGCCGAGCCTGGACCGGCGCGCCAGCCTCACCCGGGCCGATCACCATGCACTGCCACGCCGAGCTGAGGCTGAGCTCGCCCGGCCAGCTCAAAGCAGCCAGGCGGCGCTACAAGACTTTCATGATCGACGAGATCCTCTCCAAAGAGACCTGCGACTATTTTGAGAAACTTTCTCTCTACTCGATGTGCCCGTCGCTTGTCGTGCGACCCAAGCCCCTTCACTCCTGCACCGGTAAGACAGCCGCAGCGGGGTGAGTGGGTTGCGGGAGCTTTTCTGCCTGTGCCAGTCGCTTTATTGTCCCTGTCCTCTGACGGTAGGACGCGAGAGGAAGGGGCCTCAGGATTCTTTCCCTGCGTTTCTGCAGGGGTACAGCACTCTCCTGTGGTGGGCACTGCTAAGGCTTCTGACTCCTGGTGCGGGAAGGACCAGGGAAGTTACTGCTCTTGGAAATAAAGTGGACGCAGCAGGCCCCAAGGAATGCGACGCCTGAGTGGCCTGCTGGGAGAACGTTTCCTCCTTCCCTGCCTTCATCGCTGTGGTTTTTCAATCAGAAGGTTCAAACGCTTGAATTGGTTTCAGCGGCTAAATCATTGTTTCAGGAAGTGATATTATTGGTTTCAACTAGACCTTGGTGGCCTATTTCTCAGCTGGACTTAACTTGTCCAACTCCCTGTCATCTCCCCTGGAAATTTTACAAGTAAATCAGTGTCCTGGGGTTCTCAGCAAAATCCAGGTTTCTGTGAATTTGGCTAAAAATGATTTTAGTTTGGGGAAGCAATTCTAAGGAGTATGTTGCCTTGTTGCACAGGCTGAGGAGGTCAACCCTCATTTGTTTTGAGCGATTGAAGACAGTGATAACAAAAACATCCCTTACATCTACTTTCTTCTTTTTACCAGAGCTAAGACCAATAGGAAGGATAAAGAGAACTTAATAAAAATAGTAGGTTTATGTAGAAACAAACGCAAAGGTATTTAAGAAACAGTATATTAGAGAAACTCCCAAGTTTTAAAGTGGCCTTGGCATTATGAAATTTAGGCTGTAGAAACAGGCATGTGAATGAAAAAAAGTGGTCAAAATTATTGTTATCAGTAAAGTTGTTTACTACGCTTTCAATTGAAGGTAAAAATTAAGTACTTTAAACCCCAAAGAACCCTTGAGGGTATTTTTTGCATAGGTGGCATGATATAAATTCTTAATTAAATTATACTTCTATTGAAAAAGTAAAGTGAAGAGCCATCAGTTACTGAAAGACATGTTTTGAAATATTCGGGTTAAATGCCGCTAGCACCTTATGTTTGGATTCCTATATTTTCTGTAGGCTCCATTGATAGTTCCTATAGGGCAATCAGTATGTAGGTAATAACTACATACAATTTTTTTAAAACAAAATATTTTTGGATATCAAGTGAATATCTCATTTAATTACATCATTTCAAAATAAATTTTGCTTTAAGGTGGAATTAGGCCTGATATCTCATAGCAAGTCTTGGTATATTGAGTTCAGAAAAAATGAAATATATAAAACTAGAAACAAGTAAATATATGAAACAAGATAGATATTTTTGATACTGATATATTTACATTTCTGTGTCTGTTATAAGGAGCCCTTGTGCTGCACTGATTAAGTGTTGGGCACATCATCCGCTCCGAGGGAGAATGATGTGGCAATCTGCTTCTATAAAGGTTCCCACCAAACCCAACCCATTGCCATTGAGTTGATTCTGACTCAGAGTGACCTTATAGGATTGATAGTACTGTCCCATGGGGTTTCCAAGGCTGTGCAGCTTCATGGAAGCAGATCACCACATCTTTCTTCAGAGGCTGTAAAAATTACAGCTTTGGAAAACTTATTTTGCAGTTCTTCTACGCTGTCCCGTAGGGTCGCTATGAGTCAGAATAGACTTGATTTAGAATTAATTTAGCATATAACATGTTGGTCTTATTTTTAAGACTGATAACAGTAATCCTGTTAGAATGAAAATACATTGCCTTTTAGAAGTTGGTAACAATCTCTCATATACATTAGAATGTTGACAGTACTGAAAGCCAAAAATGAAGTTTAATTTGCTGCAATAACTCAGATCCCTTTGGAAAAAAAAAAAAAATAAGAGGATCCCTCTTAGTCTCAAATCTCAATGCATGCTGCTAAGACATTGCATTTGATGAAGTTCCTAGGACAAAACAGAACTTTTCCTAAGCACCTAGGTGCAGCTTACTGCTGGCAGAACTTTGAGCAACTTTGAGCCATGCATTGACTTGAAGGCAGCTTTTCCTGGCTTATGGCAGTCACAGAATTGAATCAGAGAAAAAAACATGCCAGAAAAAGAGTAATAAATAGACTCAGAAAACAGTGATCCAGTCATCAGTTGAGGTTGAGTAAGTGCTGTGTTTTATTGAACCTTGTGTGGGAAATAAATCTGAGGAAAATAAAGTGATTCATATGTAGTTTTTTGAATGTTAAAATGGAATTGCACATGTGTCATGGGCTATAGTTTTGCTCAGTCTTGTGCTTTCAGAAGCTCATTGGCAGTTTGTTGAAGAGGGTGGTTGTTGGCAAGGGTTCTTGCTCTGTCATTCCAGTGCTTTGTTTCTCTGGATTGCTTTTTTGAAAATGTGCTGTGATTTTGTTGTAGTTGAGATTTAAAATATAGAGACTGGGATTTGCCAGTGGAATTAAACCCATAAAAACTGGCTACAGTAGTCCATACTTTCAGATCATAAGCCTTTAGTAGGTTTATAGTTACAGTTAAAGCCTTACATGTATTAGATCATGGGAATCCCATTAGTGCCTTCTCAAGGGCTTTGCAAATACTACACTTTCAAAGCATTTTTGTTGTTTTTAACAGTTAGGCTTGGAATAAAAAATCTTAGATTAGATAAATTTGATCTTTTTCAAGAATTAATAATTAAAAAAAAAACAGCAATAAAATTGCTGGCATCCATAATGCAACTGTAATTTTATTTGCTGAATAGAGATAAATATTTAACACTTTTGGTGGAACCAGTGGACAAAAAGTTCAAATCAAGGGAAGGATATAAATTGGAATTATGTTCCTAAACTTTCTTATCCTTTGGTTTGCTGCTGATTTAAGTTTTAAGTAACTGTAACAGAAGTGAACTTTGAAGGTAAAATAATGAAAGTTAAGATTAAAAAATTTCTTCAGAATTAAAAAAGTTACCACAATAAGTACATAAAATTTTGGTGGAAAGAAAGCTACAGCATTTAAAAATCCTCAACATAATTAAGTAGTCCATGTTGTTTATATTTAGTAATCCAAATGTCAGTTTATGATATGAATCTCCTCAGGCAGAAGAGCATGCATTCAAATAAACTGAGAAATGAAAACATTTTTCATCAGGCAGATAATCACTTGACAGTAATTTATGTTATTAGACACTCTAACCTTGATGGATACTCACTTTAAAAATTATTTTAACCAACCGTTTCTTATTATAAATGCAATATTTTTGGCTTAGAAAGTTATCTCTAAGTTTAAGTTTCTCATTATATCTCCTAAATCACTTACTAGACTGAAAAAGAGAATCCTTTCTTTCTGTTGTTGTTAGATGCCATCAGTCATTTCCGACCCCTAGTGACCTTATGTACAACAGAATGATTTGCCCAGTCCCGAGCCATCCTTACAATCGTTGCTGTGTTTGAGCCCATTGTTGCAGCCACGACCGGTGGCTTTTCCTGCTAAGTCAAACTAAAGGAAAATATATCATTAAATTTAAAATAGAATTTAAAAAATTCTAAACCTGAGGAAAGCCATTTGGCAAATAGATTTGTTATTTAGGCCATTGGTGAGATGTGGAATATGTTTAAAAAATTAATGTAGTATGTAACATGCTGGTCTTATTTTCAAATCTGATACAAGTAATCCTTATTAGAATGGAAATATATTTTGCCATTTAGAAGTCAGTGACTATCTCTCAGAAACAGTAAAATGTTAGTTACTAAAAGCCCAATATCAGATGTAATTTGTGGAATTATATAAATATATTTACCTTCAATCTTGAATTTAAATATTGTTTTATTTTTCTGGTTGTGATGAATATTTCTTGGTGGATGAGTTCCTTGAAGAAATCTGGCTTCTTAGGACGGAGTAGATTAGCATTATCAGCACAGTAATTTTGGAAGGATCTCCCTTTCAGTTTCATCTTTAGAAACATGAGGCATTTCTAAATTTGAAAGGTGTTTGGAAGAAATGGTTAACTTCCTTAGCAAATAGGGATGTAACAGTTTACCTTAGGGGCTTTTACACACTAAAGATACATTCATATTTATAACATGGAATTACCCTAGGTTTGCACATGTACATTTAGTGAGGAATGAGTATAGATATATTTGGACATTTAATCAACAATGTCCAGCACATTGCTCTTTTAATTATTCCACTGAAACTTGCAGTCTAATTCTGTCCCCCCTCTCCAAAAGAGTGGTTGGGTTGAATCTCTCAGTGACCTCTAGCAGTTCAGTCAGTCTTAGGGAGCTGTAGAACTAGAGTGTATTTTAGAGCTTATAGACCAATTTCCCAAGTAGATTATTTGCAATGAGTCAAAAATTTACCAGATGCCAGAATCCCATCACTGTCTAAACATCGTTTCAGTCCACGCTTCTACTTTAGTTACACACCTGGGACAAATTCCTGCATTCACACCCAGAGAACAGCCAACTAGCCAATTAAAACGGGAGGGAGGCATGTTGAGGAAAGATGTTTATCTTAGATGATGGCATCAGGAACATTTTATCCTTTGGTGGGTCCCAGAGAAACAAGTTCTTAAAGGTGGTAGGTAGCCTTGGGTGCATTTTTATCACAAAGATTGGGTGTCATCACAGTGAAAAATGAATGAGGTACAGAAGGATATAATGACATCTTTGGGAGTTAGGGAACTTGTTATTGTTTCATGGAGTTGGCTCCAGTGATTCCCCAAATCTCAGTTGGGTCTTTTAGTTGGAGACCAAAACCCATAGGATCTTGGGAACCTGAGAGTTGGGCCCTGGAATGTTAAGGGAGATAGGTAAACTGCGGTTGGAATAATCATCATTATCAACAAGCATTTGTATTTCTGCCAAGGGCCAACTACTCATAACTGGATCTCCTGTTCCTATTCGAAGGGTAGATAAACTGAGGGGTACATAGGATATAAGACTCAGCCAGATCAGAAAATATTTGGATCTAAGCTCTTTCAGGATCTTCAGTTGAAGAAACCTCATTATTCCCTTAAT